CTGGGCTCAAGGAATCCTCCTAAGTAGTTGGCATTACAGGTATGTGCTAGTATGCCTAGCTCTTAAATCACAATTCTTCATAGTTCAGTGAGTTGTTATTGTTATTTTAGTTTCTATTGATTTTTCAGTCAATAGTAGATTCCTAATACCAAAGCTCTAATTTTCTGTGTTCTTTTCAGTTAGTTAAAGAGAGGAGCATAGGAAGACAGAACAGCAATCTGAGGGATGCTGTAATTTTAAAATACGTACTCAATTTTTGCTTTGAGATTTTTGTTTAGTTGTAAATGTATTTTGAAATCTAAAGCATGGCCTAAAAGTTAATTGAATAACTTATTCTCCTTTTATGACTAAAAGAAGATAATAGTTTTCTTAGATACAGGAGAATAAACCATTCAATTTTTGAGTCTCTCTGCTCTGTGACAACATATTGTCAACTATATGCTCCAACATGTTCAAACATGTACTGGAATGTAATTTATGTCTAATTAGATGTAGACTAAAAAAAATACTCAGGTTTATTTTTTCCAACTTTAGATTGGACTAGATACATCCTCAAAATTACTACCACAAAATCTCTACTAAAAATTTGCATGCAATATTTTGTAATTTTTATGTGAAAAGTTAATTCTTATTCATACAAAATAGAAATATTAGAGATCCTAAATGGAGAAAAAATTTGCTCTTTAGTTGGCCCAGAAAGTTGATCATTTTAATTTAAACCTCAGGCTAAATTAAGACCTCAGGCATTCAGGGACTGAGGACAGACACATCATCCTACAGAGTGTTTTCCTTGAGTCAGGATTGAGGAACTAAGCATACACAGCTCTGAAATCATAAAACATACTCTGGTTCTGGATTTATGCTCACATATTTCAAGTTATATACAATATGTTTCTTTTCTGGAGAAGTGGACCCACAGAGAAAAGGTACTAATCTATAAATATGAGCATCCAGTCCATTTGGTAGGTATATTACTTTATTAATGAACAAAATATGTCATTACTGGTTTACTATTATTGTTAAAAATTTTAAATTAGCTGGGCGCCTGTAATCCCAGACTCAGGAGGCTGTGGCAGGAGGATGGAGAGTTCAAAGCCAGCCTCTACAACTTATCAATGTCCTAAGCAACTCAGTGAGACCCTGTCTCTAAACTTAAAAAAAATACAAAGAAGGGCTGGGAATGTGGCTCAGGGGTTAAGTGCCCCTGGGTTCAATCCCCAGTGCCAAATAAATAAATGATGTTTTATTTTTAAAATTTAAAATAATAAATCAATTATGCCTATTTATTTTTATCAAAGAAAACTTTGAGAATAAAAGCTTACTTTTTAGGACACAGATTATGCTTTAAAATATTATAAATAGTAAATAAACTTTGGATAAAAAATTGAGAACACATAATGTGTCACTTCCTATGAACATGGTTGCTATGGATGAGTGTAGCAACATTATTTTGAAAATATAATATTAATGTTTTTCAAATAGAAAAGAAAGAAGCCAGACATGGTGGTGCACTCCTGTAATCCCAACAGCTTGGGAGGCTGAGGCAGGAGGATTATGAGTTCAAAGCAGCCTCAGCAACTTAGTGAGGCCCTGTCTCTAAATAAAATATAAAAAAAGGCTAGGGACATGGCTCAGTGATTGAGTGCCTCTGGATGTCTGTAAACTCAGCAGCTTGGGAGGCTAAGGCAGGAAGTTCAAGGGCAGCCTCCGAAACTTAACAAGACCCTGTCTCAAAATAAAAAATTTAAAAAAGAGCTGGGGATGTAGCTCAACAATAGAATGCCCCTGGGTTCATGTTCCCAGTATGGGGGCAGGGGGGAGGAGCATAATTTCAGAACTGCTCAATTTATTTTATCCTTTTGTCACCACTAGAACACTCACATCATATCAACATTATATTATCACACCACTGTAGTCTTTTCTCTACCTCCATCAGTGTCTCCTCTGGCAGTTCGGGGGCTTCAAAAGTGATAAGCCCCTCTAGGCTGGGGGGTGAAGCACCATAAGGCACATATCTCAGGCTGGGAGCTACCTCTGCTCCCGGTGGGGAAGAGCCCAAGCCCGGGCCAGGTGGGGAGCCCACACACACACGGCCACTTGCAGAGCACAGAGAGCCTCCTGAGCTGCTGGACCCCACTGCAAGGAAACATAAAACACAGCACAGCGTCCTGAGTTAGGTCACAGAGGGGCTTTTACACCCACTGCTCCTCTTATTTACTGAACAAAACCTACTGAGTAATAAAGTTCAAACAAAAGTCCCTTATCCCCACCCAACTTTACCATATGAATAGTTTTTAGTTTTCCATGTTCACTTACAATCCTTGTCTATGTGTATATTTTATAGATATCAGAGCTAGTTTTCTTATATTCTACTCTAAAAAATTTGTACCATAAACATTTTTCCTGGTTGCTCCATCAGTTTCATAATTATAAGATTCAATAGATATATAGTAATTTATAATCTTTATATATGTGAAGTTTATCTGGAGTCATTTATACTATTTGATTTTTTTTTTCATGTTACAAATATCACTGCAATGAAATTAACCAAGTTTTTCCTTCTTTCAAATGACTTCTATGTGATAAATACTCAATAGTGGTATTATAAACAAGAAAGGAATTACCACAGATGAATATTATAAACATTTTTACAGCTTTTCCTAAGAATTGCCACATTATTTTCTATAGCAGCTGTAAGCACATATATCCCACTAAAGCTTGACAAGACTGGGTATTAAGTTTTTAAAAATGTCACTACAATTAACAGATATAAAATGTTACTGTTTTAAAATGGCATTTTCTTACTTATCGTATAAAATTATAAATATTTATAAAACTAAGATTTTAATTCTACCTATCTTTTTTTGTTGATACTAATATCCTGATTAGCAACTTATTTAGAATAAGAGAACTTAAATAACACAAAGCACAATATATATGATGGTATTATATACTTTGAGTCCAATCTAAATACTTTCTTAATTTCTCTATTAATAAACTACTTATAGAATATGGATAATAATAAAAATATATTAGCCTATCTAAACATAATGTGTCACTTCCTATGAACATGGTTGCTATGGATGAGTGTAGCAACATTATTTTGAAAATATAATATTAAGGTTTTTCAAATAGAAAAGAAACAGTGGAACCCAAAGTTCAAAAATAAAACTTAAGCTTCTAGAAAACTAAATAAACAATATACTAAAATAAGATTTCAAAATATAAGTTGAGAATCACTTTGGTTAGACAGCTGCTTCTTCATGGATCAATTATTTATATTTTATATTATATATATTACATATGAACATACAAGCATAATGGATATTTCTAGATTTATATATATATAATGTAGCACTTTTACTTTACGAAGTCCCCCCATCCAAAATGCTGCCTCATTTAGTACTTATAACCCTTGTTCACTGGCAAAGAAACTGAAGACCAAAGAAATTCAGTGACTTGTTTAAGTTGTAACACTACATTACCCTCAGAATACCACACTCCAAATACTTGCCACAGATTGAATAGGACAAACATTTCTCACCTGAGGTGGTTCTTGTTCGTAGGACCATATGGGTACAAGTGGGGCCTGTGGCGCTGTGTGGAGGAGACCCCACAGTGAAGAGGACAGCCCTAGAATTTGTAGCGGTTCCTGCGGGTGGTGCCAGTACAACACCACAGGCTCCTGCAGGAGCTACAATAAAGAGTTTACAAAATGTCAGGTTACCTTGACAGTGTATTTACTATCTGCAAGTGGAATTACAGGGAGACTTTAACTTTTATATTAGTTTTCCTTAGCAAAAGCATTTATTACTCAAAATCAGAAAATATGATGCCACACTTCCATTAAAATATTATAATCTTCTTCATACCAAAGTCTAATATTTAGTTACTTTTGTTGTAGTGCTGGAGATTAAACCTAGGACCTTGAACACACTAGAAAAACACTTCACCACTGAGCTACATCCCCAGCCCTTTTTATTGTTTATTTTGAGACAGGGTCTCACTAAATTGCTGAGGCTGGCCTTGAACTTTACAATCCTCCAGCCTCAGCCTCCATAGTCACTGGTATTACAATTGTATGCCACCTTGCCTGGATCATCTCCAGTCCTTCATAGTTACTTCTGAATACTTCTAAAATACATGAACTGCCAAGTCACACCTGTTGAAGATAATTTGAAAAAAGCAGAAACTGAGAACTGGGAATACAAACGTGAAGTCAAAGTGAAATGGTGATCAGAAATATCTATTGTAATACAGCTTCAGAAAAACACAAAAAGTTGAGACAAGTATAGAACAAAAACCTAACATCTGTCAGGATTTGAAAACAAGTAGGACAGATGTCAAAGGGACTGAGGGACAAAGTTTGGGCTACATGAAGAGTTGGTGAAAACCCCTTCATCTATCAAACAGGCAGAATCAATAAAATTATTGATTTTTACATTCAACCATTACATTTCTGGGAACACAGAATGGAGGCAGGATTAATTTAATCATAAAAAGCACTGAACAAAATACAGAACAAGATTTCCTCAGTGCCCATCTTATCTACAGTACACAACAAAATAAGAGCACATATCAACAGAGGTAGAAAGAGCTCATAAAGCTCAATTCACAATAGTTAAATTATGGAACCTACCTAAGCCTTTCAACAGATGAATGGATAAAGAAAATGCAGTACATAAAAACAATGGAATATTACTCAGCCATAAAGAAGAATGGAATTATGGCATTTGTCAGTAAATGGATACAACTAGAAACTATCATGCCAAGTGCAATAAGCTCATCCCCAAAACGCAAAAGCCAAATGTTCTGATATGCAGATGCTGACTCACAATAGGGGTGGGGGGGAAGAGGAGTTTACCAGATTGGACAGGGAGGAGTTGGGGGAAAGGAGGGGGATGGGAATGGGAAAGACAGTAGAATGAATCAGACATAACTTTCTTGTTCATATATGAATACACAACCAGTGTAATTCCACATCATGTACAATCACAAGAATGGAAAATTATACTCCATATATGTATGTCAAAATACATTCTACTGTTATATATATAACTAAAAAGAACAAATAAAAATATATGAAAAAAGTGGGAGGAAGCTCATAAAAATGTCATAGGGAGCAAGGAAACAATAAGCAGAAATTAAAGACCACCTACTGTTACAAAAGATGTACCTTCTCTTTATTTAATGTTCCAAGAATTTATTTAAGGGATGTTCATGGGTAGATTTTAAGACCCAGTGGCACAATTTTTTTCTGAAGGTCTCAAAGTTTTCCTATTTTCAATAGTTTTTGTTTTACAAAACAGAAACTTCATGGTTAGAAAACAGAAGTTTGTAATTTCAAATGATATAACAAAGTTCATGTGCCAAAAAAAAAAAAAAAGAGAATACAAATTATCAAAGATGCATTTTATGCCTAAATATTCTTTAAGAAAAACTTAGTTTCACATCTATTAACCTGGACTTAAAACTATAATGCACACTCACATGGAACTAGTAAGCTCTGTAAAATTCAAATTTATATGTAAAAGAGAATAAGACATAATATGGTCACACTCAGACAAGCTGTTTTCCAAAACTATTCTAACTCCTGGTGACTTGGTGACTTTTGGCAAAAAAACACTAAGAAAAAAAAAATGATTCCATATTCTCAGTGTGAAGAGCTCCACAACCAGTTCCTCAGTGAAACAACTATACTGATGAAATGTTTTTAAGAACAACCACTTAAGGCTAGGGGTATAGTTCAGTGGTAGAGTCCTTAGCCAGCATGAGAGAGACCCTGATCAAATCCATAGCACTGCCCAAAATAACAACTTAAAGTGTCTAGAAATTGTCCTTGAAGACATATAGGAAGAGACATTTATTCAAGAAAATTCATGTCTACACATCCAAGCACAATGACACATGCCTGTAACCCCAGTAACTTGGGAGGCTGAAGCAGGAGGATAACAAATTCAAGACCAATCTCAGCAATTTAACGAGACCCTCAGCAACTTTGTAAAATCTTGTCTCAAAAAATAGGTAGGTAGCAAATGTGCCCCTGGATTCAATCCCCAATAAGCTGCAAAAGAAAAGAAGCGAAGCACAAGCACATCTCAGCAATAATTGTGTCTGGCCTCTACTCACAGGGTGCAAGTTCTGGCCCAGGCCAGTGGACTAGGGCCCTTAAACACGCACTTCTGCTTATTTATCTAGCAGAGGCAAATCAAGAAGACCAGAGGCTTCCATCTCTGTCTAGCACCAGGCTTACAAAGCTGGGGTGTCCCTCCAAGACAAATGAGCAACTGTTATTCCTAGCTCCAGAGCAGTGGTAGAGAGGTATTCCCCAATGCTGGGGAGGCAGGGAACAGAGAATTCTGAAGCTCTCTCCAGGGCACCTGACTTTGTTTGAAATAAGAGATTCACCTAAGGGTGCTATCAAAAAGGATGAAGATTTGGGTGATGAGCAAGTAAAAGGAAGCTGGTAACTCCATGAGAGCAACAACTAAATAACAGACCAGCTGGAAGTTTATCAGACCAGGGAAAGATAGCCAAGAACCCTCCTGCGGTACATACAAGGTTCAAATACTATCCTCAAAGACTATTCCTACAAATTGGCTAGAATTTAACTAGACCTGTGAAACAATTTATCTCCCAGGGCACTGTTAAAAACAATTAAGCAATCAACTGGTAATTAGTGGAGGCAAACAGTTGAGTGTGATACCATGAGAGGTGAGAGATCACAGAACAAAAAGAATCCTGCTAGAACTGTGAAGAAAGGCCAGGTAGCTAAGTGGTAGACCACCTACTGTGTCTAACATGTGTTTAAGTTCCTGGATTCAAATCCTAACACTGCAAAACAAAACCTGAAATTACTGTCTACTTAGCCAAGGTTGTACCCTTTAAGGATTGACATCAGGCTGCATAATGCAAGACTTCACTGAAATAGTCCACCATGACTAAACAAATAAGAAAGGAAAAACCTAAGCTGGGGTGGAAGAGAGCCACATTTAGAATTACTACAAAATATTACATAAAATGTTCAGTTTTCAACAAAAATTATGATACAAACAAGTTATTAGGGGCTGGGCTGTGGCTCAGTGGTAGGGTGCTCACCTAGCTTGTGCAAGGCCCTGGGTTCGATCCCCAGCCCACATAAAAATAAATAAAGGTATTTTTCTAAAGTTATTAATAAAGTATAATCCTACACAGAAAAAAAAGAAACTACCTGAAGTCTAAAATGTCAAACTAATCAAAGACTTCACAGTAACTATTTTAAACATGTTCAAATATTGAAAGGAAATCAAGGTTTAAAAAGTAAAGCAGCCAGACATGGAGGCACATGCCTATATTCCTAGCTACTCAGGAGGCTAAGAGCTTTGGCAGCTTTGTGAGACCCTGTCTCAAACAAAAAAATAAATTTTAAGGGCTGGGTGTGTAGCTCAGTGATAGAGTGCTCCTGGGTTCAATCCCTAGTACCACAAAAAAATAAAAATAAAATAGAAAGTAAACGTATGTATGATGATAATGTCTCATCATTCAGAAAAAATAGAAATTATTTTTGAAGTAGAAAGTCTGGAATTTAAAAATACAGCCATCTTCCCTTATCCACAGTTTTGCTTTCTGTAATTTATTATCAGTCAATTGTCCAAAAATGGAGAATAAACAGTTCATAAGTTTCAAACTGCTCTCCATTCTGGGAAGTGTGATGAGATCTCATGATGTCCAGTCTAAGATGTGAAACATCCTTTTATCCAGCATATCCAGAGTGATATACTACCCACCCATTAGTCAATTAACGGTTATCAAATTCACTGGTGCAGTATCACAGTACTTGTGTTCAACTCTTATTTTATTTAAAAGTGACCCAAAAGTGAAAGAGTAGTCATGCTAGCCAAAGAGAAGCCATGAAGTTCTTCTTTCAAGAAGAATGAATATACACCAAACCCCCAGCCCCTGCCAAAAAAAAACCAAAAAAAAACACTAAGATAGCGAAAGAGATAACCATGTTTCACATTTTCACATAACTTTTATTTGTTATAGTTGTTCTGTTTTATTACTGTTATGGTTAATCTCTTACTGTGCCTACTTTATAAATTAATCTTGGGTATGTATACATAGGAAAATGGGACACATGGGGTTTGGTACTACCTGAAGCTTCAGGAATCCACTAAAGGTCTTAGAATGTACCCCCAGCTGCAGATAAGGGGAGACTACTATATAATAACATAAAATGAAATTCACTAAAGGGCTCAGAAGCAGATTTCAACTGGCAGAATAAAGAATCTCTGAATTTAAAGGCAGATCAATGAGAACTAGGTAATCTGAAAAACAGAGAAAGAGAACATAGTATAGTTGACCTCTGAACAATATGGAGTTTGTGGGGCAGCAGAGCACCAACTCTCACACAGCTGAAAATCTGAGTGTAACTCCTGACTCCTCCCAAACTTAACTAGTAATAACCTGCTATTGACTGCAAGTTTTACTAATAATATTAACAGTCAACTAACAAATATTTTGTACATTACATGTATTATATATGATGAATAATATGTAGGAATGACAAGAGATTACTTTGTTGCTTTTTTTTTCTGAGAGAGAGAGAATTTTTTAATATATATTTTTTAGTTTTCGGTGGACACAACATCTTTATTTTATTTTTATGTGGTGCTGAGGATCAAACCCAGTGCCCCGCGCATGCCAGGCAAGCCA